ACACACACACACACACACACACACACACACACAGCCGCCTCCCCATATCCTCACCACCGCCGCCGTTGGCCCCCAAGCCCTCGACACCGCCTGGCTGCGAACTGCTCGACTCGCCGCACTCCTCCCGCCAGCCTGGCTCCCGCACCGCACCCTGCCTCTGCACCGCACCTGCCCCACTACGCCCCGAGTGGCCAGCACTCTCCCCGACATTGACTCTCGCTCCACATGCATCTCCCCCAGAGATAGCTGCCCTTGACGAGCGCCTGCTGCCTACTTTTCCGCCTCGCTCCCAACTCAATGTCACATCATGGACTCTCCCGACCACGCACATGCCTTTTCAGGCGATCTCGGAGAGCCCCAAAGGCCACGCCAACTGCCCCCCGATCTCCCCACCTCGCTCAATGACAGGAGACCCGTCCACATCATGAACGAGGAGACGGAGATATACGATGCATGGCAAGGTAGGCGCTGGTGCATCCGGCAGGAGCCATGCTGCAAACGCGGCCGCTAACACCACGTAGGCCAGTCGCAATTCCTCACCACCCCCATGCCCGCCCGTCCACTCAGCTTCAACCTCTCGCTTGACGACCCGACCTTTGGAGACGAGGACATGCAGCAGCTCGAGGATAGTGATAGCCGTCTGGTGCAGATGCTCGCTCACCAGGCACGCCTGAAAAACGACAATGCTGGCGATGAAGCAAAAGTGGTCGCTGACGACAAGTTGTCACATGAGGAGAAGAGGGAAGCCCTGCAAGGCCTCTTCACCTTGGCTGCCTCCAACGGCGAACTCGAGAGGGTGAAGCGGTTACTCGACGGCAAGGCACGCGAATACATCGACATCAATGGAGTAGACGCCGAGGGCACCCCGCCCCTAGTCTACGCAAGCTGCTTTGGCCACGAGGATGTCGCTGCAACCCTGCTCGACCAAGGCGCTACTGTTGACATACAGGACAGGAACCGCTGGACACCCCTCATGTGGGCCATGACGAACCGGCACAAGGATATCGTTAAACTCCTCCTGGAGCACGGGGCATCCACCGACGTCAAGTCTTCAGGCGGGAGGACCGCATTCGATTTTGTCGAGCCCAACACGGAGCTTTCCGAGTACCTGCACGAGAGCGGATATGCCATTGGCAATGTAGGCGTTGGAGACGACTTTTACAGCTCTGGTTTCTCGCAAGATCGCTTTGAGCAGGAAATGCAGGAGAACGACATGAAGCGACGCATGATGATGGAAAGCGCCTTCAACCTCGAAGTGGATATTGGCAATCTTGGCTTGGATGAGCAGCCAGAGGTATGTACTATGGTTCCCGTCTTGAACGCACCGCTAACCGCTATAGTCCCCTGAAGAGCCAGAGGAAGAAGCCCAAGAGTTTATATGGGATAGGTGCCTCAATGATCAAATGTTTGTCTTCCAAGAAAACGAGCTCGAGCGCATTCTCGACATCATCATCACCAACATGACACCACAACGCTCCCCGTCACAAAAGCCGGTACCTGCGAACATACTCTTCCTCAGTGCTCGGTATGCACACTACCACGCCAATCCTGAACTCCTCGAAACACTACTCGTATCTGCCATGAATAAGATTAATGACGTGGTTGAAAAGCACCAGTGGGATATGACTGTGCTAGCATTCTGGATGTCAAATGCCACTTTACTTTTGCATTATCTCAAAAAAGATGGCGGACTGATGGGGGCCACCAATCACTTTCAACTGCAAATGGCCGAACTGATCAATGAAATCTTCATTTTGATCATTCGTGATGCAGAGCGGAGAATGGACAAGAATCTCGACCAAGCGATGCTGGACCACGAGCCGATGCCCGGATTTGAAGATGTGCATTTCCAGCACGAATGGAAAATATTTCGTTCAAAGCCAAAGGCGAAGCCTGTAGAGCCACTTGAGAAACGCTTCCGACCGCCGTCCCCGAAGCGTCGAGCGCAGCCTTCCCCGCGAAACATTACTTCCCTTCTTGCATCTACTTTGTTTGTTCTTGATCTTTACGACGTCCATTCCGTCATTACAGCCCAGGTGCTATCGCAGCTGATATACTGGATCTCTGCCGAAGTCTTCAACCGTATAATGTCCAATCGAAAATACCTGGCTCGGACAAAGGCTATGCAAATACGCATGAACGTCTCGACGCTAGAAGACTGGGCGCGATCGAACAACCGGCAGCCAGAGCACTATGAGAACGGCTCTATGACCTCCACTGGGGAAAACACTGCAGATGCTGCCAAGCGGCACCTTGAGCCTTTGATTCAACTACTTCAATGGCTACAATGTTTTTCATCGCTTGGCGAGGATTTAGAGTCGCTGGTAGGAACATTGCAACAGTTGACGCGTCTATCACCTCAACAGTTATTGCATACCGCAAAGTACTATAGACCAGAAGTCGGCGAAAAAGGTCTCCCAAAAAGCGCATCAAAATACATTATCCACCTACAAAAGGCCGCAGCCGATCGAAAAGCTGCAAAGACAAAGTCACCGAATCCTGACTCTGCACCGACCACACCAGTCAGACCGACTGCCGAAAGACCAATTGAGCCCTCGCCTGCACCCTCACGAATGTCTGATGAGGAAGAGCATGACGAACTTCCGGACGAGCTTCTTCTGGATCCTTCGTATATGCTACCGTTCTCGTTACCGACATCGACAGATATGCTCATCAGCTACGGCGCCGGCTTCGGCGGCGTCAACAAGGAAAGGGAACGGAAATACATTCCCACTGTACCTCCGGAGTTCATGGCCAAGCTAGATCTAAGTGGCGGCATGAACAAAAACGGCAGCTCATATTATTCAGAGTCATCATGGAATGATCCAAGCTTTGGGTGAAGATAGAAAAAGTTGATAGAGTTGCAAATCCTTGCTGATTACGGTACGGGCTAGTTGCTTCCATTCTGCCTGGTTTGGTTGGAGACCGAATTCCTTCAAGCCACGTCGTGCCTAGCACCCACTGCCACGACTGTCGTACCCGCGGCAACAGCCGGTCCCCAATAGAGAAATGTCAACTGCGACTAGCTCGGTTATGAGCGAAGCATCCGTGTTTCAACGAATACCCGCTCAGTTGAAAGCCACTTCCCCTGTTGTTGCATACTCCACACACGCTCGTAAAGGCGACCTGGTGGCTGATTGGGTTGAAGGCATGAGATGTAAAATAAACCGGGCCGATTGGATATCATTATAGCATCAAGAGACCGACAGTTTCTTCTTAAACATGGCTAGTGCTGTTGACAGCAAATGCGAACATGTCGATATTAAACTCACATGACCCCTGGTTTTACTGACTGATAATAATCCTTGTGCGCTTGAAAACCATCAGACTACAGTACTCTGGGTTAGATGCTTTTGTGTTAGTTTCCCAATTGATGATTGTCTAGGAAATTTCAAGAAGGTATGGCGGCGATTGGTCTAGTACCAAATTATTACTCGATTGAAAATAGTGATGCCGGCTATCTGCTTGACTCCGCCATCGGCCCTTGAATATCCATGGTCGGCGGCCTCCGATAGGTAGCAAGCGTTGTTCGACAGGGTCTAAGCTACCCCACCACCCCGCCATAGTTCAGTGTTGGTCGCATACATCTTTCCAACAGCAGTCGATTCCTCGTTCCTTTTGTCAATTCATCCAAATTCTAGTTGTGAGTCTTCTAAACCAAATCCCGATAAATTGTCAAAGCTTCCATCATGGCTCGTTCAATCCCAATTGAAGAAATCGATTCAACATTCAAGTCAAAGTACACAGGTACGAAACATCTGGAATGTCTGCTCTTCTTGTGTTTTTTTAACACTACTCAGACCTCATCTCTGCACCTCTTGGTTCAAAGGTGTTGTCCTTTAGCGATGAATACTTTGCTGCTGCAGAAAATCTGATAACGCCAACTCCACCAGTCCGTAAACCCGGTGTCTTCGTCCACACTGGAGCCTGGTACGATGGTTGGGAGACGCGCCGCCACAACACAGAGCCTGCAGACTGGGTCGTCTTGAGACTGGGTACTGCCAGTGGAAAAGTAGCAGGTATTGAGATTGACACAGCCCATTTCAATGGCAACCACGCTCCAGAAATCGCGGTCGAAGGCACTTTTGTCAGTGATGAGAAGGATGAAGAGGAGGTTAAGAAGCCAAGCTATGCAGGCTGGGAGACTATACTGTCAAAGCAGGAGTGTGGGCCCAGTCAACGGCATGGATGGCTGCTCCCCAACATCACTGAAAAGGCATATACGCATGTTAGGTTGCTCATGTACCCAGATGGAGGAATTGCGCGTTTCCGCCTGTACGGTGTTGCTGTTCCAGTCTTTCCTCAGTCAGCAGATGCTGTCTTTGAGCTCTCTGCAACAGTCATGGGTGGCGTTGCAACATCTTGCTCTGACCAGCATTTCGGCACAAAAGACAACCTGCTCCTTCCTGGCCGCGGAAAGGACATGGGCGATGGCTGGGAAACGAAGCGCACACGTGGTGAGCATGTTGATTGGACGATTGTAAGACTTGGAGCAAAGGGCGAGATTGATCACATTGTTATCGACACTGCGCATTTCAGGGGCAACTTCCCACAAAAGGTGCAGGTGTTCGCAGGTGCTTTTGACAAAGATCCCAGTCATGATGATGCGGGATGGACGGAAGTACTGGCTCCGCAGAAGTCGGGCCCAGATACAGAACATGTGTACAAGGCTGAGTTGAAGGAAGTATCAGGCAAGGGATACACACACGCAAAGCTGGTGATTATTCCTGACGGTGGAGTGAAGAGATTTAGAGTCTTTGGAAAGCGGGTTTAGGGGCTCGATGTTCTTGAATCATAAATACATAGTTACGGTTGTAAAGATTTCATGGAAACTATTTGAATTCACAAAAATGGAAGACAGGTGTAGAAGTATGTGGATCGCTGTAGCATGACATATGGCCGGAAAGACATACCCGAAAACGGTCCATTTTCCCTTTAGTAGCGTCTTGGAAGGGCGTGCTTATGTACATATGTACGTGGGGTAGGCGAACCCCATCTATACCTCGGCCTAGAGCATGTCATCATTGACATTCTTACATCTACTTAAATTCATTGTGTGCTGGAACAATTAAGAAGATACTTCGAAAAATGTCACAACCAACGTGGTTCCTGGCTACACTTTACGTCACACCAGTTATACTGGTGTGTTATTATCTCCTCGGCCGATTTAGTCCGTCACGAGCCGCAATAGGAGTGCTACCAGAGATGAAGATATCAGAGGTACGTACGTTCTGATATCCTGCCAATTCATGATGTTCGTCTCGAAATCGAATGTAGGAAGATTTTGATTGCTAACAACCAATCTCGACAGATCTACGTGTATCCGATTAAATCGCTACGAGCAATCAAACTGGCTTCTGCAATTGCAACACCACATGGCTTTGCACATGACCGTAAATCCACCTCTTTCTTTTATGCCACTCTTCCCAAGACTTCAAGGATCACTATCTAGTATCAATCATTCACTGCCATTCACATCTCACAAATATCAATGCAAATAAACTAACCAACCCAAAAAAAAAACATAGGCACCTTTATGCTCCTCGAAAAAACACCCACAGGCTACAAAAACATGGCCGTAGCCTCCTACCCCCAAATGACGCAATTCCTCCAAGAAATCTCTCCATCACCTTCATCAACCTCCAATGCCCTCAGTAACAGCAGCAGCAGCAGCACCGACTCCACCCTTACAATCCACTACCTAGCCCACGGCAACCACGCCAAACAATCCAGCCTCACCATCCCCCTCAACCCGCCAACCACCTCGCTGCCAACGCTCGAAATCTCCCTCCACGGCAGCCCCACAACCGCCTACCGCACGCCCGACGCATACAACACCTGGTTCACATCCTGCTTCGGCTTCCCCGTCGAACTCGTCCACCTCGGCTCAAACCGGCGCTCCCCACGCTTCAGCAACCTCCCTTTTTCTTCATCATCATCACCTCCCAGCAGTAGTACACCGCAAACCTCGCAATCCCTTACATTTACAGACTGCGCCCCCTACCTCTTCACCTCGTCCGCCTCCCTCGCCTCCGTCTCCTCGCGCATCGCCTCGGAAATGGACGTCACAAAGTTCCGCCCCAACGTCTTGCTTGAGGGCGCCAAAGACGCCTGGAGCGAGGATTTCTGGTCCCGCATTCGCATCCAGAGTGACGAGGCCCAGGCGGAGGTCGCCCTCGTGCATAATTGTGTGAGGTGCAAGAGTATTAATGTCGATTATGAGACGGGGAGGCCGGCGACGGGGGTCAAGGGTGAGGTGCTGAAGCGGTTGCAGGCCGATCGGAGGGTGGATCAGGGCGCGAGGTGGAGTCCCGTGTTTGGAAGGTATGGGTTTTGGGTTGGGGGGAAGGACAAGGAAGAGGTGGTGTGGAGGGTTGGGGATAAGGTTAGGGTTACAGGAGTGAATAGGGAGAGAACTGTTTGGAGTAAGTCTTGCTCGATTATTTTTCAGTCTTCGAAATGTGTGGTGGTGAGTGTTTACTGACTTTGCTTGATCATAGGCTGGCCGAATCTTGGATAGTGAGTGCAAGTAGGGCGACAGCAGAACCGAGCATCCTCAAGATTTGGAGTGGACTGACAATTTAGATCAAAGACGCAAGCGTTGAAATGGTGTTAAATGTTATATTTCTTCAGCTACGTTACTCTTGGACCTCTTTGACATAATGATGACTTGGAATTTGAGATACTTTGAAAAAAAAGGTCCCAACCTGACCTGAATTAACGCCGTGCTCTTGCAGACAAATCCGTCTAATAAAAATCAAATGCTCCGACCCAGAGAGACAGCCCAGGCGTGGTCAGCCCGCATCCATTAATGATGCGTACAGAGAAAATTTATGGCTACCTACTTCCTTTCTATTTGACGCCCTTTTGAATAAACGCCGTGGCGATGTTGAATTGATTGAAGTTTTCATGCATTTTTGAGACGAAAGCCGTGCTTTTGATAAATATGCATAAGATGAGAAAATTTTACCAGGTTTCCTATTTGCAAGTTAGTGTCTGTTATATCTGATTGATGAGTAGCCAAACTTACAGCAATGTACTGGCCGTCTTCCTTCTTCTTAGCCCAGAACTCCTTTGCTTGTGCCTCACTTAAGCGGCCCTTTCGCATTGCGACATCAATCAGGGAGGCTTCGACGCCTTCACCCATGCCCTTGCTAGAACCACAGACGAAGATGCGTCCGTCGAGTGCATTGATGACAAACCATACAATATCAGCTTGCACCTTGACCTCGTCTTGGACGTATTTGACTTCGTTGGAGCCCCCCGATTTGACCTTCCTGCTCTGCACAACTTTCTTGATTTCGCGTTCGTGGTCACCCAGTTCGCCAGAGTACAACTCATCTAGCATGGAGTCTCGCACACCTTGGATGAGCCAGATCTTATTTGCACAGTTGGCGTTCTTGAGCCTGTTTAGAATGAAACCTCGGAAGGGAGCCATGCCAACACCAGCACCAATGAGAACCATGGGTCCTTCTCCACCAAACTGCTTCGAAAGTGGATTTGCCATGAGACCACGGAACATGGGGACGCGGAGATCAAGGATGCTACGAGGGTCGATGCCTTCATTCTCAGTTGTGATAAAAGCATGGGCCAGGCGTTCCATGAAGCCACTGCCAACGCCAGTGCGGACAGCTCCGTCAGCGTGCCAATCGGGTGTTTCGTGAACAGTGACGGCCATTTCGATGAGGCGACGAGTTCCTGGAAGGCCGGGACGAGCCGAAGAAATGTGTGGGTCATTTGAGAGCGAGTAGAAACGTGGCATCAATTGGGTAAGCACGGAAAGAAGGTGTGGTAGCGGTGGCTTGGACGAAGGGAATGCGCTAAGAAGCTGCGCAACAGTAAAGTGAGAACTGGTGCGCAAATCACAGAAAGCAGCCTGTCCCTGGGCAGAGCAGAGGTATGTCAAGATCTTCTTCTCGTTTGGTGCCTCGGCGTACTCGGCCATGACGCGGAGGAGGTTCTTGGTTGGGGGATTTGACTGGATATCCGTACACCAGGTCAGGAGCTCGCGGCGAGTTGTGACGAGTTCGCGTGGCTGGTCTTCTCCCCAGATGGTTGGCCATCTTCCTGAAAAAGTCTTGAGTGTGACTGGCTTCTCCCGAACAAACTTGGGAATGCAAAGAATGTCGAATATCTCGTCAACCATTTCCTGGGAATTGGGCGGGCAGATACCAACAGCACCGCCAACCTTGAAGTCGACTCCTCCTTCGTCTGGGTAGTCGGTCACGTCAATGTCAAAGTGGATTGTACGCTTCTCAGCGCCCGGCTTGGTCAGCTCGCGTGCATGGTATAGCGGGGCCGAGTAGACTTCGTATGGCGGGTGTGGTTGGACGTATTTGGGTGGCATCTTGTGTACCTCGGAGACATACTTGGTGTCCTTGGATGGCAGAGGATCAAAGGCCATGTTGACAGGCGGGAGCGGCATTGTGTCTGTGAGTTGACTATCGAGGGCGAGGGGACCCAACTTGAGGTTGAGAGTGCGGAAGGCATGGTTGTCGGGAATGACGACGGGGACGAAGTTGGGCGACGAGGAATCAGGAGCCAGTGTCTTGAGAAGACAGCATCCTCCACCACAGCACTGGCTGATGAGCTTGGTAGCTGTCTCTCCCTCGCCCAGTATCCGTCTGATGTCGTTTGGGTTGTCCGAAATTAGCGTTGTGGATGCCCGCCTCGGCCGTGACTGCTCCGCCAGGTTGACCGAGGCAGCGGGCAGCTCCTGCAGCTTGTCGATGACCTCGTCGACGGCCTGATCGGGCTCGGTGATTGGCGTCATGGGAGCCTCTGAATCATCGCTGCTGTTTGTCCATGCTGTGGCGTCGCCCGAGGACTTTGGCGAAATATGTTCGGGCTCCGACTGCTCCTGCTCCTGCTCCGGCCGCAGTGACAATTGGGGCATGTCCTTGGGCTCTGCGGGGATAGGATCTTCAGGGTGTGAGGTAGATGTGTGTGGTATGGGGCTTGCCATGGTGGATGTCGAGGAAGCCATGTGTCGGCGTGGTGGAGAGGAAAGACGAAGGAGCGGCGTGGGAATCGGGGAGTTGACAACGGGGACTGCTAGCGCGAACCATTGTTATTAGCAACATGTTACTCATGCCTGCGAAATCATGTCCAATCTGAGCAGCAGTTTGTTTCAGTCAGTGAGGAGGCGCACCCTCAGCTGGCTTGCTAAGCTGCGGGACACGGACGTGAGGATAATGTGGGGGAGCAAAGGGTTATCTGATGCTTTTTCCATGCGCCGCGGAATTTGAGCTTATCAGATGGTGGCATCACACACACTCAACACTCACCTTGACTAACTGCTGACAAACGAGCCCGCGCAAGCGATGGCCGCGTACTAGATCCCGGGATAGACAATGCGATCGGAGACGAGTGAGTGGGACGGAGTGTAAGATAAAGTCTGGCGGCGGGTGAAGGTATGCGCATGAGGGAGAAGAATGGTGGTGACGAGCCCATTCTGTCCTCCGCGCCCGGCCGCTTTTCCCTGCCTGCTACTGCCGATCGACGACGCCGCCTCCAAGGGCTGAGATGACCAGATCAGGACTTGCACTGGTGCCGAATGACGCTTGTGCGGGCGCCCACCCGATCTCATCGCCGAAGCCGGTGTGGTCTTGTCGCTCCCGGCCAGGCCCTGCTTTTTCCGACACAAGGGGTACATGGCAGAAAGTAATCGCTGATCGGCTAATTTTGTCCTCTTCACTATCTCCTGACCATGATGGTTCAGCTGCCGTTCATGGCGCCACCAGCAACTGACCGCTACCCCTATCAATGTCTGCCAACTCCGAGTGCAATTCTCCTCGGCGTATAATCGCGCAAATCTCCAAATACAAGCTACCACTGTCAGATGCCGGCCCCCAAGGCTTGGCCGCCATTCCATCTGATAACCGTAACCAAGGCCTCAGACCCGAGCCCCACCAGCTGCCCTCACAAAACCCTGCCACCATGCTGACGCCTGCGTCTTGAAGCCTGCAACTCCATTAGCCTTCTCCCCCACATGTACCGCATCCATCCCATTGCGGAATGATTGCGTCTTGCCGCTGGAGAATCGTTACGTCGTTGAGCCGCCACCCACGTCCGTCCTTAGCTTTACCTTGTCAGGATATGATATTACCCAGACACCCCGGCCCGCCAAACTTGACGAGCAAAGCCTTCCCCACCTAGTGAGACTGGCGTTGCAACGGGCTGACTGTATAACGCTGTGGTTGTATCGGCCTACATGCGCAGGGTCTAACCTCGTTATGCGTTGTGTTCCGCCAAGTCGAAAGAGCGTTGAGAAGAACGGTTTTGTTAGCGGGCCCAGACCAACCCTTTCCATTCGCCACCGGAATGTGGCGGCCTGGTCTCTTGAGACGACATCTTCATGACGCTACGGCATTCCCCCTCCACTGGATGATGCAAACATACGCATCTCTTTCGCCAATTGCTCATCTTCACTCACTGGGCAAAATGCGTGTCTTGGAATAGCTGATCATGGCAGCAACAAAATCGTAAGGCAGTCTCGGGCTGTTCAGGATGTTCCACAGAAGCATCAACTTATTACATACTATCTGACGAAATCAGTCTTGTTAGCTTCACCTCTTTCAAATAAATTACTGCAATGTCATTGTTCAAGATGCTAATCTGCTGGATCGACAATTCTTCTTCATTTATCTTGACAACCATTCCATCCTGAGTAACAAACGTTCAATCCTGAGCCACACGCATCTCTCATTAACCAAATCCATCTAATTAGTCCAACTCAACACCTACCCTAATACTTTCCACTTTCCTTAACCAACCCCTCCTTCTCATTCTCCTTTTTCCCCCTCAACGCCCACCCAGGCGCCTCATCTATCCCATCCTCCTCCGCCTTATCCCCCTCCTCCTTATTCTTATGCACACTACTCGGTAAATGCTCTGCAGGTGAATACACCGTAATCAACTCTAGCGGTTGCTCCCCTCTGGTCACAAACTGATGCTGCGTCCCCGCAGGCACAACAACCACATCTCCCGCTGCTACCTCTTGCTCTTTCCCCGCCACAGTCGCTAGTCCCCGCCCAGAAGTGAACAGTAGAATCTGATCGACCAGGTGTACTTCATCGCCAATTTCCCCATTTACGGGAACTTCCATGGCGACAATTTGGCCTGGTTGTTGTTATTGCGTGTGTTAGCATCTCAACTATCTTTTTCCAAGGAAGGGAATAAATATGGTAAGGGGAGAAGAAGAAGAAAAAACTAACTGTAAAGCCCCGTATGCAACACCGTTCTAAAGTCCCCAAAACTCCGCTTCTCGCTCATTAAACCGGGGAAATAAACCATTTCATGCTTTGGCGGCGCATCCTCCCTGTTTCCCACTTTCTTGTATCCTTCCATCTTCTTCGGACCCTGCGGCAACGATACAGTACGACTGCTTTGGAAACTCCGCGTAATGAGGTAGACGCGTGTAGTAACTGGTTTTGCGAGCGACGAGCGCGATGAAAAGGAGGTTGTGTTAAGACGGAGTGGAGTTTGGAGTGAGCTTTTGAGCATTTGAGAAAAAGTTACCAGAAGTTGCTGGCGTTGCTGGCGTCTATGTTTTCTTTCAAGCGAGACAAGCGTGTGATTATATGTGATTAGGAAGGCGCTATACCTTTCCCTTCGCGTCACTGGGCTAAGGATAGTCCCTGAAAGGGCGATACTGAGCAATTGGTGTACGTGACGTCAATATTGCGACGGAGAGACATGATGCCTTCTTCTTGAATACAGGCTAGATGGATTGGTTTGAGGCTAATTGGGGTGTCATACCATGGACCGCTCCCATCTGAGTGGTGCTGGTACCTGATTAAGTCATTAGAGTGCAGGGTAAGGGCGGGGCGGATTCACAGGGCTAACAGGCTAGCGGATGGGCTCCGCTTGATGCCGCATGCTGAGAGAGCAAGCCATTGCATATGTGTTTCTTAACTTGAGCCTTAGACTTGCCATCATAATGCATGTGGCCTGGCTCGCATCCTGTTGCTTGTAGTATCGTCTCACTGTCGAGGATTTCCAGGGATATGCTGAAGTGGCGTGGTTTTTCTGAAGAAGCAACCATGAGAGGAGAATAATGTTCAATTACACCCAACACTCGCATGTGCGAGTTTCAACAAGACAATGTTGTTATAAAGGTTGTTGCCGCCAAACTAATCGGCGGGTAATGTACAATGACAACTCCAAATCATGCAGCAAGCGATTGCCCATTACTCGTTGGGCCTCTCAAGCCAAACTTATATTCCTACAAATCAAGTCTCGAAACCCCGAGACTGGTACTGGTGTTGAGGCCCAGTATGTCTGGTGGGCCTAGCTGCCGCTTAGAGTCTTTTGAGACAAGTTCACAGGAAACCTGCTGCTTGCTTCATGAAGACGCCGAAGAAGCTTTCCCATCACCAGCGTCATTCTTCCAGTACAACCCCAGAACATGACAATCTGTCTACTCGTTTCTGCGGGCCACAACCTCATCCTTTTCTTCCTCAAACTCCCGCTCAATCTCCTCCTCCTCTGTTGGCTTTGAACTCTTGACATCCCGGGTAGGAATGTCACCACCGCTCATTTGCCATTCCATGAGCTTGTTGAATGCGCCCTCAGGGTTGGAGCTAAGCTGCTCATAAGTGCCCTCTTCGGCGACCCTGCCATCTGAATCAATGCAGATAATACGGTCGGAACGCTTGATAGTAGAGAGACGATGAGCAATGCTGATGGTGGTGTTGTTCTCTTGGAGAAGCTTGCTCAGTGCCTGGTTGACAAGCGTCTCTGACTCGGCGTCCAGGGCACTTGTTGCTTCGTCGAGGATCAAAATGTCGGGCTTCTTGATCAAAGCCCGTGCAATTGCTATGCGCTGTTTCTGGCCTCCCGAAAGCTGTGTGCCCCGGGCGCCGACATGTGTTTCAAGGCCATCAGGCTATGCTAGTCAGCGAAAGATCTAGAAAAAAAAATAGGACTATGTACTTACGAAATCACTGATGAACTGGCAATTGGCCTTTCGTGCCGCTGCAATAATCTCAGAACGGGTGGCATTGGGCACACCATATGCAATGTTTTCGGCAATGGTTCCGGAGAAGAGAACAGGTTCTTGTCCCACGTAGCCAATCTTTCTCCTCAGTTGTTTTGCGTTCAGGGTAGTAATATCCCTTCCATCAATGGTAATAACACCAGAGGTTGGGACATAGAAGCGCAAAATCAAGCTAGCAACAGTCGACTTTCCAGCTCCGCTAGGTGCGACAATAGCCACGTTGGTGCCCTGCTCAATCTTGAAGCTCAGGTCCTTGAAAATGGAGACTGCTGGCCGGGTGGGGTAGCTGAATGATACGTTCTTAAATTCGATAGGACCACGTGCGGACCTGACAGGTAGACCCTTAGTTGGCGAGATTGTCGGGTTGCGGTCTTGAAGCTCGAATAGACGACTGGCAGCGCCGACACCCTTCATCATTTCTCCATAGAAACCAGACAAGCCAACCATACTGGAACCAGCGTACACAGTGTACATCAAGAATGACGATAGCTCACCAATCGAGATGACACCGTTCTTGACCATATTGCTGCCCACGTAGAGGATAGTAATGATGGTCAAGTTGCCCATAAGACCTGTACTTCCATAAAAGCTCGCAGCAACCACAGCCTCCTTCTTTCCCAGGGCGAATATTCTCTTGATCTGACGGTTGTATCGGGAGGCTTCTTGGACTTCACCAGCAAATGCTTGACTAGTCCTGACGTTACCTAACCTTTCCTCGGCAATCTTGGTTAGAGTACCTAGGTTCTTCTGGATTTTGCGACTTAGGTTCCGTAGAGATCTACCACTGAAGAATGCGACGAGGGCCACTGGAGGACCAATCAAAGCAAGAATACCGGTAAGCTTGAGACTGACAAAACCCATCATGGCGAAACCAGCTGCACCGCTGACGAGCGCACGCAGGCCATCGGACAAGTTCTGTGTGATACTCTTTCCAACAATTATGGTGTCTGAGCCAAGGCGAGAGATGAGATCTCCAACTCTGTTTGCGTCGAAAAACTCGGCATTCTGGATAAACGTCTTGCGGTACAGCTGTGATCGCAGGCGGGCGACGATGCGCTCTCCGACAATTCGCAGAATGATGATGCGGCCAAAGTTGAATGCAGCGCCGGTGGTCAAGACGCCAGCGAGAGCAAAGTAGAATAGCGAGGGAGTCATGCCAAAGAGTAAGCCATCGGTGTTTTCTGTCGAGGTTGCAGCGTCCAGGATTTTTCCAATAGAGAAAGGCACCGATAATGAGATGCCGGATCCAATGAGTAAGAATATGAATGCCCATGAGAGGGAGCCTAATTCAGGCCGTGCAATGCTGATGAGCCGCCAGATTTCCTTCATGCCGCCGGGTGTGCCTCCAGATCCAGAGCCGTCCTTGCTGAGTTTCGCACTAAGATTGACCTGCTTGGCTTGAGCTGCCTTTTCGGACTTTGCAAAGCCTTGCTCAGCCTCTGCTTCGCCGTCGTGTTCCTCGAGATCCACAATGCCTTTTTCCTTGATTTCATCCTTGTAAGATTTGCGTTGTTTGGTGATTTTGTCGTTTCCCGATGCTTCGGATACATGTCGGGACGCATTGAATAGTCGAATTGGGTGTTGTAGGCCATTGTGGCGGATAGTCCCCGCAGTTGCGAATCGAGACAAGGAGGGTGCGAGATGGCAAGCCAGATTTGGCGCGCCTCTCACAGTCGAGGCATTGGGTGTCGGCTTCGTAGCGATTGATCTCGAGAATGTCGGCTTGATCGTCGAGATGCGCGACTGTATTTGTGAGAAGAGAGCTCCGTTACCGGGACCATGCCAGGCTTTTGCGGAGAAAGCCAGCGGGCCGCGCATGGCTTGAGACAGGTAGACAAGACGACTACCGGGTTCTGAGGGCAATTTGGAGCGATATCAAGGCATTCGTCATGGCGGTGGATGGGCTGGTGTGGGAGGGGACGACTTCGGAGACGCTGATCAAAAGTTCGGCGTCGCTGATGACGACAGGACGGCCGCGTCGATCTTGCGCCGACACGTGCCGCGGCTACTGCATTTGATTACCGACAGCAGACGAACACTTTTGTTTCATTCAGATACACATGCATGTATGATAAATATGCCCAAGGCACAAATAACGACTAGGCAGTGCTGTATCGACCGTTGGTAACTGATTCACGCATAACCACAGTCATGGTCGCTGTGCGGGTTGACTCATCTTCACTCATGCAAGCAAGAGGCGCAAGGCCCGCCATCCGCAAGACATGAGCAGCCTCTCTATTTTAAGAAGACAATTGACATTCTTGCGGTTTTCCGCACTATCCTCCAAGTGCAATCATCTCAATTCATATCTCACCATGGCTTCAGCTCCTGGATCCCCATCACCAATTCAGCTGCACGGAGCGACTCTTGAAGGTGGAGGCCAATTAGTCCGTATCGCCCTTGGTCTCTCCGCTCTCACCAAGAAGCCAATCGGTATCGACAACATTCGTGCAAGACGTTCAGGTGGCGGTGGTCTCAAGGCTCAACACTTGACCAGCGTCCAATGGCTCGGTGAAGCCTCCAATGCGCACATTACAGGTGCAGAACTAAAGAGCAAGGAAATCACCTTTTCACCAGATACCGCTTGCGTAATTAGCACAATTCTTTCTTCAGGAGAAGTTCGCATTAAACAGTCTACACCTGGAAGCGTCAACCTCGTTCTACAAGCCATACTCCCCTATCTTCTCTTCTCAGGGGCATCCTCACCACTACGCGTTCAAATCACAGGAGGAACAAACGTATCCAACTCGCCCTCATGTGACTACATAACCCAAGTCCTGCTACCAACACTAGAGCTCATTGGTATACCACACATCGCCACCAACCTACATTCAAGAGGCTGGTCCCAGGGCACTTCGAGTCTCGGCAGCGTCACATACACCGTCACCCCTTTGACCAGCCAGCTACCATCTTTCCAACTAATAAATAGGGGCGAAGTGGAACGAGTAACGGCCACCATCATCGCCCCGAGAAACACCGAACGCCACTTCCGTGAAGAATTGGATGTGATGTTCGAGCGTCGCCAGTCCCGCTTCTTCGCATCCAACGAAGGAGATGTACAGATCACATTCGAAGACTCTCACCATGAGAAGAGGTACTACCTCCTCTTGGTAGCCACCACATCCACTGGCATGAAACTAGGCCGCGACTGGCTGTACGATCGGGGTGTGCGAGCAGGTCAACAGTCGCAACAAGCCGTTGCCAACATTGTGAAAACGGTGTCAGATAATTTGCTAGCGGAGATCGAACATGGTGGTTGCGTGGACGAGTATCTGCGCGATCAATTGGTGGTTTATCAGGCGCTTGCACGAGGGAAGAGTGAAGTGTATGGTGGGGAAAGGATAGAGGGGCTTGTAAAACCGAGTTTGCATGCGAGGACTGCGCAGTGGGTAGCGGGGGAGATACTTGGGGTTGAGTTTGATGAGCGGGGAGGGTGTGAGGGGATTGGATTCGTGCCTAGCAGCGAGGAAGAGTTGGTACCGGAATTGGATGCACTTCATGTTGCGGATACGTAAATCGTCTTTCTTTGCCATAGATAGGGTATACATGTATAATTCCTACTCTCACCCACAGACTTTTCATTGCAATCCAAGTCTCTCAAACATCTGTCCCCCGATGCTCCTCCTAACCACGCATCTAAATAGCATACCTAAAATGCTTCGCCTGGATATCCGTCAAATCACTAAACCCATCCATGACTGCCTGTTCATCCTCGCCAGCCCCCCATAGGCGATCCTTCTTCTTGTTCTGCCATGTCATCCACGCGGCCAGCACGCCCGCCACCACTATCATGGCACAATAACACACAATCAGACCCGTAAGGGCTGAAAAATACCTCGGCGCCTCCCTTGCAAGAAAGAGGTTCGCTCCAGCGATATTCCCCGCGGCGTAAAATACAAACCACATTCCATTCGCCGTACTGCGCTTAGTATGGCCGGCAATATTCGTCGTGAGCAGATTCCACGTTAGAATGACGGGAGCACCAATAAGGTACTGCAACCAAGTACATCCAACGAGGCTCCATCGCTGAGACAGCGGCGTAAGTCGAATACCCAGGAGTCCTCCCAGCGGCGGCAGACAGACAATAGCAAGGATAAGACATCGCGTATTCCTAAAGTATCCCGCCGCCAGCCCGCACAGCGGCACGATAACGAACTCGATAGCGCCCGTGGGAAGTTGCAGCAGAGTAGCATAAATGCCACTGAAGCCAAACCCACGCAAGAGCGACGACGAGAAATTCGACACACCGCCATTAATAACACCGCACCCCAACCCAATCAGCGCAATACACAAGACCTTGAAATCGAGTACCGCCTCAAGCGCCTGCTTGGCATGAAACTTCTTCGTCTTAACCCCAATCATATTCCCCGCCACGCGATCAATCGCCACAATCCTCTCTTTATGCGTCAAGAACTTCGCTGTGGCGGGGCTATCCGGCATGACGGCCAGGAAAACAAAGGACCAGACGAAATTCATCAGCCCAATGACGAGGAAGATGAGCTGCCAGGTTTTGATATGGGGCGAGTGTGCGTGGCCCAGGCCGTAGCCGAGTAAGGCGCCGACCATGGTAGCAATGCCGTTGAAGGCGAGGAAGACGCACATGCGCAGCGGTTGCTCGGCGCGCGTGTAGAACATGCTTACTATGTTCATAATGGCAGGCGATATCGAAGCCTCAAACATACCGAGCAGGAAGCGCAGGGCGAGCATTCCGCCGTAGTTTTTCGCCGCGACGTGGCAGCAGAGGAGGAGCGACCAGATGAGGATCATAGACCCTGTGTATTTCGAGACTGGGAGCCGCTGGATCAGGTAGTTTGACGGGAGCGCCCAGAATAAGTAGCCAAAGTTGAAGATTGCAGCCACCCAGCTGTAGCGGTTTCCTTGGAGTCCAAGATCCGGGGTGAGTGTGTAGGCATTTGCGTAGTTGAGGCTGAGTTTGTCGAGGAATTGGATCATGTATGTCGTGCAAATCTTCGTCCTTGTATTAGCCCCATTTTCTTTTCCCCTTTCTCTTCTTTTACATCGCCATTTTTTTTAAAAAAACCGAGGGAGAAAGTAAGAAAAAAAAAGAAAGGATGGGAGGTGACGTACCATGGGCATAATAACCCAATCAATCTTCCTCAGCACAACCTTCCTCTCCGCCTCCAGCTCCTCCCGCGAATACTGCTGGACCTCAAGATACAAATCCGCGCCGATATCTTGCATCTGCTTCTCTGCCGCACTAACTTGCCCTCCTTCCAGACTCGGCTCCCGCACAACAGGCGACACCGGATCTTCTTTCTTCTCCCCCATTCTCTTGCTTAACTATCTCTCTCCCACGCTCAAAAAAAAATAACAAAGCTCCTTGAAAATTTATACCGCAATCTTCTGTAGGCTCGAAGAGGAAGAAGAAGAAGGAGAAGAAAATAGAGGGAGAGTCCTAATTGAGCGCCTCTACTAACAACAACGATTTAGCCGGGTTTGTTACTACTGAAAGTAAAACCCACCAACCCCAATAAAAGCTCGGTGACCAAAAAAACAAAAGGACACCGAATGCCCTAGTACTAAATCCCTCTGTTACAGCAAAAAAAAACACATACAGTCCTGCTCCCCCCAGACTTCTTATATACCCTAAACTATTCGGCCGACAAACGGGGGGGGGGGGGGGGGAAAGCGTCAGTCTCCAACTCTTGGCGCGTAAACGGGCTCAACATAGGATTCTTGGTTATCATCATATCTACTATCTTATCTTGGGGAGGGGAGGGGGAGAGTGGGTAGTTACCATATTCAGGGTTGCACAATCAATGGCTAGTATCATGCGGGTTGCTGCAAGTCGCCATTGGTGTCGATCCTTTTTTTGTTTTTTTCGGCAATGTTGAATCGGGTATCTCCGGTTAGACTTGCCTCTTTCCGACATCTGGCATGTTCGTTGACGTTGCTTTACTGGATAAGATCAATGTTGTTTGCATGTGTGGTATTAGTTTTTGGGTAGCCTTTTTTCACTGCGACTTGGGTAATTGCATGGTAGTTTTGGCTTTGTACTTGTTGATTCTGCCTTTATTCGCAGTTTACTATTTTTTTTTTCAAATGGTATAAACTGGGAGCCTTTCCGACTACACTGTCGTCATTGACAATATACACACATAACGACCAGCCCCAAGCTCGTAAAGAAAGCGTATTCTCTACTGCCACAGACCATATGGTCCCGTTGTAAACTTCCAGAGCTTGACTGTTCCATCCTCACTGCCTGTCGCATAGAGCTTCCCATCAGGGGAGAAGCTCGCCGACCAAATAGGTCCATGGTGTCCCTTGTTCGTCTCCAACTCCTTCTCCTCATCAAAGTCCCACACTCTGACCCACGTGTCATTCTGATTGCTACCGCCGGTAACAAACTTCCTCTCTCCGTTGTGCAGTGCTACACTGGCGAGTTCGTATGGTGTCTTGACGCTCTTGATGAGCGAGCCCGGCAGTTGACTGTTGAAAAAGTAGGCGCTGTTTCCAGCAGCTACGCTCAAGATGCCATCCGAGGAGGTGTTATCCAACTCGCATGAACCCACAGTGCCCTCTACAGCGTGCTCTCCAATCGTCGACTCCTGTCGCAGATCCCACCACCGGATCTTCTTGTCCTCCGATGCTGTAATTATGACGTTAGGATCCGACGTCCACACTATCGACTTGATGGTCCCTGTATGAACGCCAGCGCCAATCTCAAAGCTGGTCGCGTCGCTGCGTGACAAGTCGTATATCCGCAGCTTTTTTTCCATTCCACCGGTCGCAAGGATCTGAGGGTGAGGTTGATTGGGGAACGCGACCGCACGGACAATGTGGTTGTGGGCGAGGGTGTGTAGCGCTTCGCCAGTATGGGTGTCCCAGACTTTTCTACGAACCGTCAGTAATTTCACGGAACAACAGACGAGGATGCCTACGCAGAGAAATCGGCTGAAGCTGTGGCTGCCAACGAGGCGTTTGAAGACAGCCGCGCTTGCCAGACTGCACCCTTGTGACCCAGGAAGGTGCCAATCCAGTCACCTGTTATACCATCTCGAAGCATGGGATTATTGTCCTTGCATGCTGATATAATATAGTATTGGTTTTCGTCCAAGAGAGACGAGAAGTGGATGTGGGGGACAGGTCTGGAGTGACCATGGCAGGTGAGGGGCACTACCTTTGTCGTCTCAGGCATTGCGAACAAACAAAGGTCTAATGTAGGTCTCTTCTAAAGTATGGACTTTGCAGGATTTGTGGTCGAACTTGCAGATGCAGTGAACTTTGACTTGTGAGAGCGGAGGCGAATCGACGAGTCTCTGTGCTGTCGCAGATAATATTGAGCCAATCTAGACCGAGCAGACGAGGCTCTAGCAGTTCAGGAAGACAAGAAAGAGAGTGAAGTTTGCAAAATATTCGTCAATAGGTCGTAACGTCGTGAAAGTGGTATCCTCGCGAAATCGCAGCTTCATGGAGAGCGATTCGAGGGGGGGGAAAGTGGAATCGACCGTTGGTCAGGGTTGCTTTACTAGTGCCGGAGATTTCCGCTAAGTACAGGGGCAGCTTGCTAGTCTTAGCACATGCGCAACGGACGTTTCACCTCCAAAGTCTGGACCGTATCTGGTATTCACCCTTGGACATCATGCAGGAGACTGAGGTTCTTAAGGTTTATTTGCTCTCTTCAGTTTCACCCTGGGTACATCACTGACAACGATTGACCGGTTATTGTATCATTTGTCCATTTTTGGCAACTCTGTGGAAATAACGCAGTGGTCAGCCTCATAAAAGTCAAGGCAGTACCAATGTGAACTACTTGATACTGGCTGGTCTCGAACGACTACTTGGAAAGAACATATCAAGCTCGCATGCACTTCTATCCCACCTCGTCACATTATGGAGAAATTGTTCGTCCATCCCAAGGGCCCAAAGGCCTCGAAGCCCGTCGTCTGAACATTCTCATCGTCACTCGCCTCCCATCCAAAGAAATTTTGCAGGTCATCAAGATTGAACATAGGCTGCTCAAGGGAATTAGGCGCACTGGGAGACGAGTACATTGGTTCAATCCGGTGCTCTGTTTGCGAAGTCATGCCATGACTTGCTGTAGACGATGGCTCATCCGGAGCTAGTGTTGTAAATGGATAGCGAGTCGCGGCGGTCCGAAGAGTCGACGGTGAAGTTGCTAACAGTATCTCTTCTACAGGGGGTATCGTGGATACAGCAGTGTTCCGCTGTCGGGGTGTGCCTTCTGTCGGGGCGGGTGCTCCAACGATACGGCGCGCTTCGTTCTCAGACGAATCTTGAGGTGCAATGTAGTCGGCTGAATGTCCACGAGCAAGACTGTCACGCACAGTCTCTAGCCACCGCTCCGAAGTGATACACAAGGACTCGGCAAGGGGATAAATAAGTGACATGTCTCTCAGCGCCCGGTTGTTATGCTGTACTAACTCAACAGTACGTGCAATCACAGTTCCAGTGTCGGGTTTGGATACATCCAATATCCTGGCAATATAGTAAAGCATGATCCTGTTGCTGTTATAGACGAATGAAGGCAATATCGAATCCGCAAAGTGCTTAACCCCATGTTGAAGGATATGTGAGACCAACACTGACATGCGCTGTGCATGCTCGAAGCAGACATCCTGTAGATGGCCCACAAAGGCCTGTTGGTCCGGGGGGAAGACAAAAGGTTCCTGGTTCTTGAAAAGGTCAGGGAGAGCGATTCGATGCACGTCACACATGACATGGTGATACATGCAATGGATAAGAAGGAGAGCACCTAGCTGGTGGGTTTCTCGTCGGATGTAGATGTTGTCTGCCGAAAAGTCTAGCCAAGAAGGCAGGCTTTGTCTCCATAAATGTATATCTTGGATCAAAATCTCGAAGCCCGAGCCTGGGAGCCAAGGCGGTTGCTCTTCGTCCATGTGCTTTACGAAGCTATGCAAAATTAGCACTGCAATTAGATAAGAAATCGTACACGCCATAACTTACCGGAGCACTCTTCGCCATATACTAACAATGCGCACGTAGTATGCTGCCATACCCAGGTTGTCGCTTGGTTTCTCTGGAATGTCTTCCTTGGCGAGGAAATCCAGCAATGTGCCTTTCTCGAGCCGTTCTGTAATACACGGTATCTGCAGTGAGAACTGTCGCTCGTTGCAAGGAAGCTGGATCTTGAGGTCTTTTTCATTGAGTATAGTGAGGTGGTCGACGCCACTACCAGCCCAGACATCGATCATGTAACACGCCCACATCAATCTTCTCCGAGACTCCCTGACAGATACCTCGTTCGGGCTTCCTCCGACTTCTTTGCAAAGTACGTCTGGCGATATCTCGTTGTTCAATTGCAAAGCATGCGCCATACGTATAACTAGACCGGTAAGAAGAAAGGAGCCGGCGTAGTTACCAGTTCTTGCTTCATGATCGTGGAGAAGGACCAAAACTTTGAGTTTGGTGATTGAAATGGTACTGTAGTCAGCAAAGAACATCTCTTCAGCGATCTTGGCCCACTGGGTCCCAGCCGACTGTATCAAATCTTTGGTCAAGGGCGAGTACGACTCATGATAGTCGAGGGCATAGAACCGAGCACCTAATGCACACATTATATGTAGGAGCGCCTGATCGGATGAGTCTACCAGCTGGCCCTCGTCCAGCATTCGAATAAACGACGGCTTATGCTCGAACGCGAAGACTCGAATAGGGTGAACATTATTGAAATACGTGTCCAGTAAAGCATGAAGCTTGTTCTTAGGCGGTAGTTGCTTTGTGAATAACCTTTTTGCTTCTTTCAGTACAACATACCGCCACTCGATAGTATTCAAACTCACCACAACAGCCCAGGCGGGCACCCAGGTACAGCAGTATCATTACCCAAAACTGAACCGAGCATGTTAAGGCTGATCGGAGAAGGCTGAGGGCCATGAGGAGTTATCATTACGGAGTTTTCCTGTGAACTTAGTGCAGGAGTGCTGATACTCTGCACCCAAGCTGGCTCGTTGTGCTCCGCATCGTAGATGCAGGTTGTCCGGCGTTGTTGGCACCTTGTGCAGGTCGGTCGTTCGCCAGAACACTTGACCTTTGAATCTCTACAGGGAATACAAGACCGGAACGTCCGTTTCCTCTTGATTCCAACTATTGGCTCGTAGCCCGAGTTTGGTCTTTTTGCCGCTGCCGATACACCGCCATTTTGGACACAGTCCAGCTGAAGCCTCTCACAGTTTAGACAGCCATTTGGTCGCTCATCACACTTGACCTATGGAACTGTCAGCTATTTTGAAGCGTAGGGGTTAATTTACTTTTTTGGTTTTTTTATAGTTAGTGCTAGGATAAGATGACTGGGTCACACCACCACACACGCAACTGCGTAGTGGTTACTCTTATGCTTTCCATGCACATTGCTGCAAACTGAACCACGGTGCAAACTAGACAAAAGGAATAAAAAGGATAAAAGCAACGAAACGCAAACGCCTACCTTTCTTGCGCGGCAAGTAGTACAGGCTATCCGAGGGCCGTTAGCTCAGGTGCCGCAGTATTAGAAGACGGCAAAGTCCACACAGCACATACCATTAATTGTTCGTCTACGCTTCTTATTCGTCGCGTTCTCAGACGGCGCGGTGATTTCCGGCGTGTCCATTTATGCATTCGGTTTGTCGCTCGGACTGTCGCATCCTCTGTGAAGCTGGGGATTGCAAAGGGCGACAAGCGGGACACAGCCCAGACTTAAGGCAAAATATGACGTGCTAGAAGACGTGGATTGGCTCAGAGTATGGGGCTTGGCAGTGCCGTTATGCTGTGTTGGGACATGGCGCTGAATGTGGAGACACGCCAGCTAGCCACTTGAGGGGAATCGACATCGTCCTCGATCCTAGCCTACGCATTACGAGCCATTATCCTGATTCGCAATGAAAGTCTAGTGCTCGTCCACCAATACGCTGTTATTTGGTCACGCGATGCTCTTGGGGTGTTTTACAACGTAACGAGTTATCTAAACCATTTGCATGACCAATCTCATATGCAGGCGGCGACGCCACACCTGAGAACCTAATGTTTGCATCGCTGACTATTTCATGCAGTGTGACTGGATTGTTGCTAGGCTGGTCGTGGCGAGCTTGGACTACTTTAGGTTGTTTGTAGACTCGAGTGCTGTATACATGTGTACCAACTCCAAAGGCGTATACACTCTCTTCATATCTTGACTGCCGTAGCTTTGGTTTCTCGAATATGCGTCGGAGTGGATGAATCTTGTAATCAGCAGCTTGTATAAACATCATCTCTTGCATACAACACAACTCCTAGCTCCTCTAATACCCTGGAAAACAAACAGTGTTGAAAATAAGATGTTTTTTCTGTTGGGACAAAGACCAATACTTCGCGAAGAAAGGATCTTTTCAGCTACTTGCTCTTGCGCATCATATCAAGCTTCTACTTGAATTCAGAGACAAACAAATCGGGATAGCAAGGTTACATAAAACGGAGGCTACTGTAATCGCGGACGCACTTCTCATTCCCAGTTCAGGCGTTAGACCCACTTCTCGGGGATATACTTCACATCGTCTCGGCAGCAACTGAATTTTTGATGCCCAGGCTCTCAATGTTGGCGATGCACACAGTCCCATTCGTACTGCACCAACACGTTAGCATGAATCCAGCGAACAGAGTTGATATGACTACGTACCACTCTACCGTCCTCATCGCCTGTGTAGACGTGATGGGCCATAGGCAATATACATGTAATGGGTGCTGTTTGAGCCAGCATCACAGGATCACCATGGTTCAGGACGTTGATGAGGTTTGCAGACCATTTAGCGGTCGTCGGGGTTGAGGATGGCAAGGTCGAAGATGCAGGCGTTAGATGGAAAATCTAGTACAGGTCAGCAAATGTACAATGTACGATTGGGGGGTGATAAAAAGAAGAGTTAAACAAACCTTCACTATTCCTCTTCGATGCCCAGTGAAGATTAGTTCACGTTCACACCACTCGTTGCCCAATCCTTCGTAAACTGCTATAGTTGTGATATAGTCTCCCTCATCTTCACTGTCGCAAATGTCTTCGTCAAGCAGTATCGCACCGTTAAGCGTCGCGACAATAAGCCGGTTTCCGCAGGCGAGTACGATATTGCCCGTGACACTGTTGATCCTGGCTGCTTGGACTGGCACTGGAGCCCGCTTTTGCTGTGCGCCCAGGGCAAGCTCTCGTACGAATTCGTTGCGGTTAAGGTCCCAAAGAAATACACGTCCATCAAGTGAAGCCGACAGGAATGCGGAAAATGCACGGCTGGCGGCAAGCGTCATAACTGGTGATTTGTGACCGAAGAGGGTAGTGGCGTTCTGAAGCTCGATACGGCCTCGCTCGCCTTTGTTGACAGTCCATATGGCGAGGGTACAGTCTGTTCCCGCTGTGATCAACGTCCGGCCATCAACGAAATGCGAGGTTGTCAATTGCCCAGAGTGCAAATGTTCAAACAGCCCGACCAGCTTCTTGGAGTGC